GCCTAAAAGGTCGCGATGTGTGAAAGAAAGGTCGCGAGATAGCCGAGAGGGACAGCCTTGCCGCTGTTATTGCAATTTCACCAACGAATAAACGGGATGAGACATGTGCCCAACTTGAGCTCACCGCGCCTCCTCATGGTTGGCCTCCCACATGGAGTCCGCCCTGCTCATTCGTTCATATGCCGCCCGTTGGTTCAATGCAACTCACCTGCGCAGTTATTGGGCTCAAAAACACATGAACCAACAGCTCGTGCTCCAAACAATCCTGGATCAGAAAACTACCTGTAATCGAGAGAGCAGCTCCTTTCCATCTTTCGGTGGCACCAATTCATTGATCCTTCAACAGATGATGTAGCCGGAGCTAAGTGGGCAGGTTGAACCAGATTCGCAATGCTTTGCACCCACTAATACATGAGACGGCACATGCGAACCACTACGATTCGATCACAAGCGTACTTGATCAATGTATGAGGGAGGACGATACGGACAGAAAGCATCAAGGTTGATAAACTAGCGCACTGGAGACACCTGATAGAGGTCAAGCTTCGCATAGAATCAAGTGGGCAGCACTCCTAGAGTCAGGGCAAAAGAAAGTACATATTTCTTCAACTTGCGTTATCCCATGCTTTCTATGGCCCTCGAATGCGACTAGGCGGGTCATGAAAGCCTTGTATTGTAGCCAAAGAGCCTTCCCAGGATTCAAGTCTAAGTCATTCCAACCCACTGCAAGATAGAAAACAGAGAGGCCGTCGCAACGGCCGCGCCTATTGGCGCCTGCAACCCTGCCGCGAAAGAACCTTGAGTGGGCACTGCGTCAGAGTTGACCTTAAGATAGAGAATACGGAGGAGTGGTCTGCTGAAAAACTCACCAGCAACAGGTCCAAGTTGTCCAGAACCGAGGGCTTAGAGCACCCAGGGGGAGACAACGGCTTGCACCACTCCGCTGACAACGATAGCGACGATGTACGGGTGCTCCTTGTCGAATTAGAGCACGATCCTGCCTGCTTTGATCGCCAGGTCCAAGACTTCTTCCAAGAGCTCAGTAACGGCATCGCGCAGACGCATGAAAATTTTGACGCCGCCGCGGATGTAGTCGGTGGTCTTCTTGGTCCGGGATTCGGCCGCCATTAGATCTACGTGGCGGTGGTCGAGGTTTCTGTCTCCTTTCTCCATGAGGCGAAATATGTCGATGAAGTTGGGAGCTGAAATTTTATCTCTTCCTAGTCCTATCTTGATTGTTGTCATTGCAAGAACGATCGTCGGATTGCGCGTACGTCTGGGTTATCCACAACGTTTTACAACTATCTCGGTTGCTTCTTCTTGACATGTCTGGAACATATTGAAGAAGCAATTCATGATTTATTGTATTTTTCTCCAGAAAGCAAGTGAATTCTATCTTCGAACGTTTAGTTAGAGTTCAATCTCTGGCAGTTAACGGTAGGCCTCCAGGAGGCCTCCGAAGCATATCTTTTGAACCTCTGGCCATCAGAGCCTCAGTAACTCTCAGAGGTCCGGACTCTCATGTTTAAACTTGGAGTTTGAGCTGGAGGCAACATCGAGCTACTAATATATGCCTCCCCTTCCTTGTTCTCACTTCCGTTCATTCACATTTGCACAATCGATCGTCCAGTAGGTAGGGCTGATATCTTTGATCCTCCTTGCTATGCTCCCATTCCTTGCAAGCACAGCCCAACAATCCCAACACCACTAACACGAAACGCGGTCAGCGGGCTGGTCCATCCGAACACCACCCAGTCAACGAAATGGCCATATCCGTGTCAAGAATACGCCAGTGACCAGTTGTGAGTCTATCTGACCTAGTCAATGGCTTTTATCGTCAAAAACAAAAGAATTGGGCCCTAACCAGGATTCGAACCTGGGACCTCTCCCAGACGTGTCGTGAGACCCTAAGGGAGAATCATACCGCTAGACCATCAGGGCTGATGCGACTACTGGTCGTTGAGGGTATTCTCGAGTTGGCCGTTCTTGCAGCTTGGAGAGCTAGCGACCACGCAGGCTTTGCCGCTGAGCGCGAAAAAAGTGCTATCCAGATTCCGAAGTTGAAAAGTCGTAGGCTTTTGACGCTCCCCACGACAATTGCAAGTGCACGCTCACGTACGTATAACGAGATGGCATTTTTACAATGCCTCGTCCGTATAAGATACCTCGCAATTGGTTGAGGCAAGCTGGCCTTTCTCTCGCCACCCGTCTCATTCTTCAGGTCTCAACACCTCATCTTTCTCGATAGGTTGGTGAATTGTTTCCCGAACAGACTGCTAGAGCCTTATACCTATCGCCTTCGTCAACGGCCGTTGCACAGCCAAGCTGGCCAAGCTAGACCCGTCGCAATGGTAATCTCCTCTTGGCTCAGGGTCCCCCTTGATTAGTTCACGTCGCTTACCGCAGCTGCGAACGTCGGGATTCGAATCCTACAGGCTACGCGAAGCCGAGGGTCTCACCTACAGTTCTACACAACCACCATGCCTCATACAGCGCTCGTATCTCCAGCTTCATTGTCCTACAATATCAATGTTCGGCAAGTATACTGTGCTTGAAGAAGGATTCTCTATGATGTGAGCTCTGTGTCGTCTTGGGCCAAGCTGTGCCAGACGTTGCCGACTTGCAAAGAGACGGCCTTCGGTTCCATCTTCTTGCTCACAACAACATCTTCGAGCTCTTCGCTTTCCCAACCCGTATCTTGAATGACCCCGGTATCCCGAGTTAAGCCTTTCAAGTGTGGGGTTTGAATTTTCACTAGCGTGAAGATTGCAGTTGACGGACATGATCTCCGTGGCATGTTTCGACATGGTTATTGCGGATAGGCTGCTCCCGCTAACCCGCCTCAGCCACCTGCGATGGGTAGTGACACTATTCGCTCGCCCACCATGTTGTACCTATGGATATTAGAATAGCAACTGCAAGTGCAGACTTCTCAACGCCTAAGGACTGCCGTCAACGGCACAAGTTCCCGCTGACACCCTCTATGCTACGTAGTTCTAGCCAGGCTCATTGAATGTAACGGTATAACCGCTGCTTAGGCTGAACGAATTCTCGCTGCCTAGTCTCTAGCTCATCTGCCCTTCATCTGGACCTTCTCTTCTACTCCTAGCCTGCAATGATCCCATGCCATATCTACGTCAAGTCCAACCTTACTACATCATGGATCTATTTCTGTTCTTTCCATACGAGAGTCTTCAACTTTTCTTACCTGGGGATCATGGGCCATTCACCGCCAGCCATCTCCCGGCCCTACCCTTGAGATTCGGTGTTCGAGCCTATCAATAACGTCCCCGCCCGAGTCTAGAGCCTATAGGCTTATGCTCTGAGACTCTTCATTAGGAAGAGCCCATCAAGTCTAGGCATCTTCCATAGGCATCCTGGTAGGCTTCATCCCTATGAGGCGATGGATGCGGCGGGTCCCTGTGATGTCTAGTCTCTTCCATCGCATCTGAGTTGTTGCCAGCTCCAATCATGTAAGAGCTCTTCCGACTTTTCCGAATAGAAGCACAACAGCACACGCGCGATGTTGCGATACCCTCAAGCTAGACTAGGTTCTCTGAGAAGCCCCGCCGTCCGTTAACATAATCTCCATCAAACATGGTGGCTTCGCACAATCCTTCGTGGATGCTTCAGAGCTGAGTTGATGGTCGACGCCTTGTAAGCCCACCCAGTCTCCTGTTGATATCCACCCAGAGCTGAAGCTTGGTCTTTGTCATGAGTGGCAGCTAGGGAGGAGCCGAGGAACCTATACATTGGACAGCTGAATACCGTCTCTTGCCTTGCTGATAGTATCTCGGATTGCCCCGGAAGTCATCTCTGAATCCGGGTATATAAAGCCTACTGCCGTCCCATCAACCACAACCCTTCTCACCACTCCTTACACAAGACAAACCATCTCAATAAGTCCTACCTCTCTACCATTCTCGAATAAACCATCAAAACCGCCAACATGCGTCTCTCCTCTCTCCTTGCTCTCGTCTCGGCCACCTTCGTGGCCGCCGCCCCCAGCCCCGTTCCCGAGGACGCCAACTCCTACGTTCTCGCCGGTCCCCTCCCGTACGAGGAGCTGAAGACCGAGGTCGCCAAGCTCAAGTCCGACGGCTCCAACGCCGCCCGCAGTCTCAACAAGCGCATCTGCGAGGGCGTCTACATGTGTGACGGGCAGAACTTCAGTGGCTCCTGCTACTACGGCTGCTACCCCATTAGCGTCGGCATCTACCCCGATTCCTACTGGGTTTCCCGTATCAGCTCTGTAGGCCCTGACAGCGGTGGCTGGTGCGATTTCTACCAGTACGTAAAGCCTTTCTTCGTCTCCCTCGTTTGCTGTGCCTTGAATACAAGAAACTGACGACCTCATAGAGCTGGAAGCGGTTGTGATGCCACCAAGGGCTCTCACCAAATCTTCAGATACCCCGGTGGCAACCTGGCCAGCGGTATTGACAACAACATGGGTTGCTTCTACTGCAACCCCAACTAGGCCTTGATGTTGTGGAAAGTTCGATGTACCTAGGTGTACGAAGATCAAGATGGCTGCCGAAAGGTCTAAAGACCTACGACTTCTTTCTATATATTTATCTTCGGAGGCTTACAGTCCAGCTGCACAATCTCGAGACGCCGGGTTGTAGGCTAGTCTTGGAACACACCAGGTAGACTGCAAACAATTCAGGAGTGTCTCAACTGCATGATAGTTCCAAAGCTCCAAACACCTTTGACGATGGAAGGAACAGGTACGCCTGGTCCTTGAAGGGGTCAGACTTGTACACTCAGAGAGCCAAGTCAGCAGGTGACATGGAGTCTCTCGCCGCCTCAAATCCGTTCACTGTCAGTTCAAAGAAGAAGCAACTTCAAGTGAAATCTCTATTTGCAAGCAAGTCTTCGTTAGAGGGATGTCCCAACGACATCCCGAGAGAGCCTAAAGACAGGCCCAGCATCATATAACCGAATAGCCGCCTTGCGCCATGTAACAAGAACCCCTAACCATAATCGTCAAGTCCAATATGCCATCATTGAGTCTGGGTCAAGTCCTTGATAACTTTTCGTCCTCTCAACACGTCCTTCTCATGGTACGGCTCCCTCGCCGTCTCAGCAATACCCTCCACAACCCACTGATGAACAGCAGGATGCTCCAAGAGCGTCTCCACATACTTCATCGCAGGCTCCGAAACCTTCAACCCAAAAGTCTGGATCCTCGTCGCAATAGGCGCAAAGAAGGCGTCCGCGGCGCTGAACTCCGCACCCGCGAGGTACGGCCCGCCGAAGCGCGTCAGACCCTCGACCCAGAGCTTCTCGAGCCGGTCAAGGTCGCGCTGCAACGCCGCGTCGGGCGGCCCGCCGAGGTCGATGCGTAGCGCCACGTTCATGGAGCATTGGTCGCGGATGGCCTCGAAGCCGGTGTGCATCTCGGCGGCGGCGCTACGGGCGAAGGCGCGAGCGACTTTGTCTTGCGGCCAGGCGGCCGGGTGGTCTTCGGCGATGTATTCTACAATGGCGAGGGAATCCCAGATGGTGGTGTCACCGTCCTGGAGGGTGGGTACTTTTCCTGAGGGAGAGAAGCTCAGGAACGCGGGTTGACGGAGACCGGCGACGAAGGTCTGGAGGCGCTCTTCGAAGGGGACGTTGAGGGCCTTGAGGAGGACCCAGGGTCTCATGGACCAGCTAGAGTAGCGTTTGTTGGCGATGTAGAGGACGTAACCCATTGTGAGTGTCTATGCGGGGGTGAGAGATACTTGTGAGAATCTAGCGGAAAATCAGAGTAAACAAAATATCGTTTGATGAAGGGTGGTTACGAACTTGGGGCGGATGGGTATGGTTGAAGCCTAGATGTGGTTTATATGTAAATTGGGATTAACGACCTGATTTGACTTAAGGTATGCAACAGTGCTGGTTTCTGGATATCTTGTCACGCCTTTCGATCGAAGCTCGTGACGGTAGGGGTCGCCAAGCAGGGACAGATGATAGCACTAGTCCTATCGCTCACAGCTTTAAACTCGGTTGATCCAATACTTCTTTAGTCAAGCTGCAAGCTCCGCCAAGTTATGACGAATTGAGCTGGCATCACGACTGGTCACGCCGAAGAGGCAGGTTAAGACCGGCAAAATGTGGAGGCCAAGCCAATGTGTGGGACTGATGTCAGTGGAAGGGCGTTGCGATTTGGAGGGTTTCAGTGCCAATAAGCTTTAGCTTGATTAACTAAACGCGGAGAGCCGCCCTAAGGCGTATAAGCTCTGCCACTTGGCACTGAACTAACGTAACAGGGCAGATCTGCCTGTCAGGGACTCCACATGGTTGTCCAACGATGATTAGTGACCGTCCTCAGTTACCAAGGGTATATCGAGCATGCCCAGATATTGGCTCAGGCAAGTGATTTAGACCCCTTTCTGTGTCTCCATGATAAGTGAACTAGATGTTTATTTGCTGTCTAATAAAAACTTGAGAGTAGTGACAAATGTTGGCGGGCGTATCTTAAATACCTTACCTGAGGTACTGTACTTGTGTAGGTGCATAGGCAAGAAAGAGACGGGTCATTGACAATGAGTAGAGCTCTGAGTTGGCTTCCTTTGTTTATTACCTTGTACATCACATGCAGACAAACGATCCGAACATGAAACTTTAGTGATTTGACTCTGATATAGGCTTGATTGGCTCTTCTGGCTCGAGGTCTATGTTGGTATGAAAAAAGAGGAAACCCCATGCCAAGCTGGGGCTTATATCTAACAGGTTGAGCCCAACTTTTCTAATTTCTCATGATTGTCCCAATAATGCGCATAGTTATACCTGAAACCCAGCAGCTGACCCAAAAGCCACTGTCTTCAGCTTTATGAAGAACAAGCAAAGTCGAAAGACAGAGAGCTGCCGCGATAGTTGGAGCATCCATCCCCCAAGCGGAACTGCTTACCATCCACCAGCACAGGCGTGCAGGTCTGGACAGTAGTCTGGGACGTCGCGTCCACAATAGCAGTGACTTGCGTGGCCAGTCCTTCACTGTTGTCGTCGCTGCAAGCTAGTTCGAGGTTGCGGTACGTGACGCCCGTCTCATCGCTCGTGATGTTGAAAGGGTTGCCGCAGATGGGTCCCGACGTGTAAGTGCTCGCGGTGCGGACCGCGGTCCACGTGGCCGTGCCCTTGATGGCGCCCGCCTTGACGCAGACATCATCAAGCTCTTGAATTGTGGTCGGTGTGTAGGGCGACCAGGCGACAAACATGTTGGTATGAGGGAAGGCGAAGTGGCCCAGGTTGATTTGGGGGAGGCTGCAGTTGCCTGCTGACACGAGGGCCAAGGAGGAGGCGGCGATGATAGTAGAGCACTTCATTTTGATGTTTAGCGAAAGTATAGCTTCGGAACTAGGAACCGTTGAAGCTCGTGAGGAACGAATGCGGAATTGTAGGGCTGAATGAGGCTTATAGACTGCTTCTGGGACTTACTTAGGGAGGACTTAGCTGAGTTCTTAAATCCCTAGGTGAAGGGATGATCTTCACTCGCTAGGGCTGCGTCATTGGAGGGCGAACTTTCAGCCCTGAATTGAATACGAGCAGCACGATATCCACCTGACTCTGGTCAAGCCACTTTTAGCGTCGCTTCTGCCTGACGCTTACTGAGAAGAGCTTGGCCCAAATAATCCTCACAGGGAGTTCCGCATATACGGGAGTGCTGGTGCTATTCGAGAACATGAGTGGTTCACAGACCTGTTTGATTCTCAACGCTATAATTTAGTCTGCGAGAAGGATTCAGCCGCTTGAAATGCCCGACTTCGAGCCGATGCGGGCTTCAAAAGACTCCGCAAAGGTGAACACGAAGTTCCTGGCAATGCAAAATCCCTAGATTGATGACTGGTTATGCAAGTATTCTCTTAATGTGCTCATTCTCCTGAACTCATTATCAACCATGTTGCGGGGACCCTGCTTATTCAATGATAGATCAAACAGTCGGGTTGAATTAGTAACACGCGCTTCAGAAACGATAATGTTGTCTAAAGATGCTTTCCAGGAACAACGACGAATCTACGACTATAACCATAATCCTGGATCTTATTGACAGTTACGAGGAGGAGATATTGGTCTCATCATCCTCAACACTGTAACACCCTTGAACTCGGTGGAGGAGGTTTACGCTCATACTGAACTGGGATATGATATGTCTTGAGCGGAGTCAGGTGGCCAATCTAGAAGTGAGACTGTAGACGAAATCAATCGGCTAATGAGTCGACAACTATGATTTGAGGGAATAAACATCCTCACAAAGGTTGTATCATGCATTCCGTGACCGGTGTCTAAGTGAGCATGGGCCCGCCATTCATGCTAGCTTGACGCTCCGCCAGCCACGTTCGGGAAACGAGCAGAAAAGGATCTTCGGGAATTAGGGTAGTTGATGCTGAGGCTCAGGAATACATTGATAGGACAGGCAGTCACAGCTCAGCCTGTCCAAGCGACGACGGAGGTCGGGAATCAGAACCGAAACTGGATTCAGTAAACAAAATGTTTTGGTAAACGAAAAGACCTTTCAAGCCATACGAGGCGGGTATCCGGAAGGTTGTCGGTAGGTTAAGACTATGTCCTAAGCTTGCTTTGCTCGGAGATAGGATGTGGCTCAGCCGAGTTGCGTGGGCATACCGATTCCTTAGCATGATATGTAATACCGTTCGGCCATGAACCTGAGTCCGCACTGAAGCTGCAGGGGCATGATGCTTCGCTATAATGCTGCTCGTGCCGAAATGACTCGGGCACGAAGCAGGGGGCTTTGTGGTCTCTCGTAAGGTTGCATATCTGGGGCTAGGAGTTCTGGGGAAACCTCGATCATGGGCGTTAGGAGGGCAAAGTAAAGGCATAAGCACGGCATGGACGTATGGATATACGAGAACCCTTATGGGGAGAGGAAGATAAAAGCACTCATGGCGCGTGATGAACACAGAGTCATGAGCATGAACTGTTGGTGCTGAAGAAACCCGACGAACTCGGGGAATGACAAGTTGAAACTCATTCAGCCTCCATCAAAAGCCGTTGAAATAGTGGCACGGTCGCAAGGATATATGTGAACTCTGTAAACTCAATCTTGCGGAACGGGAACCATCGAGCACATCAATAGATTGGATGACGTTTATATAATACGAATCAGTATTCATGATTGGGCAGCTTCAAAACGCGGTGAACGTTTTGCGAGGTCCACGCGACTCGTCCTCACTCACACAGAGTTCTGTCAGGGGAAGCTAAATTCGCACTTAAACTAGCCACGATCTACCTACTTTGAAGAAAGCGAATAGGATGTCAAGATATCACAGCAATGTATTCAGATACAGACTCAGGCGAAGAAACACCAGTCATCTATACGGCGATTGCAGGCGCAGCTGCCGCGGCGGCAATCAAGGTGACTGGCATACTCGAGGGGCAGATGATGGATGCATCGTCCGACGAGTACTTCACTGAGGAGGATGCCAGCTCACAATCCTCCGACGATGCACATGAACAAGACAGCGACACCAAATACGACAAGAAAGGCAACCGTCGCGTACCGCTTCTGAGCGACTGGCCGGCACTACCATCGCCCGCCGCATCTCGACGCATGGCGATTGAGCAAGGCGTCCGAAAGTTTCACCACAGCCAAGCCGAATTGCAGAAGTCCATCGCTGGCGTGAAGAGAACACAGGCGATGACAGCTGCTTCTGCTGCCGCCGACGGTGAACACGCGACAAAGAGGGCGAAGACGATAGCCTCCGTGGGCCCGGCGCTGGACGCCGTCGCAATCCATCCGGTCCGGCTTACACCGCGACGGACCAAGTCGAAGCACCGGCAAGAGTTGATGGAGGTAACCTGTGACCGGGTCACCCGCATCCTCGATCAGTGCACGGGCATAATGAAGAGCATAGAAAAGGAGATGCGCGACCCTGTTCAGCTGGTGACGACCGATGTGAAGGACATCTTTGGGCCCGAACTGGTACCATTTGGACTGAAGTCCATTGCAACGGAATTCAGAGAGACGAGAATGGACGAAATGTACATGAGGTTCTTGCTGCCGAAGAAACGGGCACACCTGAGAAGCCAAGGGCTCGTGGTCCCTCCTCGAGAATTCATCATAAAGAAGGCTGTAGCCGACGTATGGTCCAATTTCGAGGATAGACTTATGCCTGATGGGCTGGAGATCGCTTGCCGAAGTTTGATGAAGCCAGGCATGGCCGAGATGTACCTAGTCTATCCGCTGGCGGCCAAGCGAGCATACCTGGAGAGAGAAGGGGTCTTGAGAGGCCCCCGTACGGTCCAGAAACCTTTGGATCAATATGTTACGCCCTCGGGCGGAGAGGGGAAGGGCCGTGTGCGTGAGTGGCTTGCATCTATGGACGATACAAGCCAAAGTGCTAAACGTCAAAGGACGGTGTGAATAATACGATTTGATGGCATCAACTGAATGACCACGTGTGATGGTTAGCTGGTGGTGAACTGTGTGAGATGAGACTGAAGCCTGTGACTAAAGCTAAGATGAATCTCAGTATCAGATGAGGTTGAATCAGAAGCAAGATGTTTGACAGGAAAAAGCCGACAAAACTTGGGTGAGGAAACATTTATGTTGAGCTGTCGATGAGATGAAATGCAGAGTATTACATAATGCAACTTTTTCGGGCTGTAAGAGAATTGATGTCACTGGCGCGGAACTTTGTACCGAAGCTCTGGGACATCCCAAACTTTTTTCGACCACCTCCAAAAAGACACCCAATTCCTCCCAATTTCTCTCTCACCAGTCCACCTAGCTGTTAGAGTATGCTCGCAGCACCATGGGTGTGCCGTCGCTGCCTGGGAGGGCTTCTGAAGCCCAGAGCGACCCAATTCATCCGCCATGCTAGCTCCGGTAAGCTCTCAATCCACGTCGTCGACTCTGAACCTCTACGATCCCCTGGCTGATACGCCGTCAAAACCCAGACGCAGCAGCAACCCTCCCGCCAGCCCTCCTCCAACGAGCCCGCAACATTGCAAAAGAACACGACGCCCTCGCCGCGGCACTCGAAGCAGACTACGACTCCAAAACGGCCCGCCGCGTAGGTGAGCTCTCGAGCGTCGTAACCGCCCTCCGAGAATGGGAAAAGGCACAGTCCTCCATCGCCGAGCTCGACGGCCTCCTCTACTCCAAGGATAAAGAGCTCCGCGAAATGGCCGCCGAGGAACTCCAAGCCACAAACGGCCAGCTCAGCTCCCTGTCGCGCAAGCTCTCCGCCTCCCTCACCCCCAAGGACCCGTACGCGCACATGCCCTGCCTTCTGGAGCTCCGTCCGGGGCCTGGCGGTCTCGAGGGCCGCTTCTTCGCCGACACGCTGTTCAAGATGTACAAGGGCTACTGCGCGCGAAAGGGCCTGCGCGCAAACGTTATAAAGTACGACATGGCCGACGCGGCGGGCGACTCCTCCTCAGCAGCGGGCGAGAGCCCCCTCCAGGAAGCCGTCATCGAGGTCCAGGACCCGGGCGCGTACGACCTCTTCCGCGGCGAGGCGGGCATGCACCGCGTCCAGCGGATCCCGGCGACGGAGAGCAAGGGCCGCGTGCACACGAGCGCGGTGGCGGTCTGGGTCCTCCCTTCGTTTCAGGGTGACAACGGCGGCGACATGGAAGACATCAACAACCCGGAGAGCGACTTCTTCATCGACCCGTCCGAGGTCAAGATCGAGACGATGCGGGCGCGCGGCGCGGGTGGGCAACACGTCAACAAGACCGAGTCCGCGATCCGCATGACGCATATCCCGACGGGCACCGTTGTCAGTATGCAGGACTCGCGGTCGCAGTCGCGGAACCGGGACGACGCGTGGAAGCTGATCCGGTCGCGGGTGGCGCTGCAGCGGCGCGAGGCGCGCGAGGAGGCGGCCGCCCAGCTGAGGAACTCTGTGCTCTCCAAGCACAAGATTACGCGCGGGGACAAGATCCGGACGTACAACTACAACCAGGACCGCGTGACGGATCACCGGGCGGGGATCGACGTGCACAACCTGCCCGATGTGATTGCCGGGGGCGAGTCGCTGGATAAGATTGTGGACGAGGTCAGGGATTGGCTTGTGTCTGGGGATATCGAGGCCATGATGGCTGATGAGTCGGCTGCCAACGCTGAAGCGAAGAAGGCGCAAAAGTGAACGCGGACACGACTCTTTGTATAGAAGTGTACTATACTGTAAAATTTCAGAGTAAAGAAGACATGATCAAGGCAAGGTCGATATTGGTCAGATGATTGACTGGATGAGCCTGAATAACATGCGATACCCATCAAAGTGAATACAAGACAGAATACGCAGAAAATTGGACACAAAAAAAAGCTATCCATGGCATTATGTAGGACCGTGAGCCAACATACAACTCTGCTAACGAAAGCCAGAATCATACCGCTCGGCCATCGACTACAACGGACGGTGCTTATTGAAAAGCAGTCGCACTTTGGCTGCCTATGATGGCATTCCGTCTCCCCTGATACTCAACAACCCGTGCCCGCCTCAGTCACCACCAAACGACATTTCAACACTCAATTCGTTGTATGCTTTTAATTCGTGCAATGAGGTATTCTAAAAGGACAGAAATAATTGCGTTGGTCGCGGTTGACCTTATTCCTATTCGTCCATCCCAACCTCATGTCTTGCAGATCGCCAAGATCTGGGGCCGCAAGCTTAAATACCTTGTCCACGGCCGTGTCCGCTGGCACTGACAGAATAAATCATTCACAGATGAGAATGTTTCAATAGTCTGGCGGCTTACGTGCCAGCAGAGCAGATTCTTGTTATGCTGGCCGTCAAGCTGAGAAATAGTTGCACAAATCGGGTCGGCCCAGATTGTAAATATTCAAAAGTTTTTACATGTTATTTTTGACTACGTAAGTGCCAAATTCAAGAGAGGGGATGTCATACAGGGACGGCATGACAGGAGTCCAAGAATTTTCCGTATCCGTCGCAGTCCATTCCATTTTTGCCGTGTCCTCCCGACCGCCATAAAAAAAAAAGCCATAAAGACGCCGCGCTATGGTCATAGAATAATGTACAACAAGTGGTGTGATAGGGGTACAGCAGCATCCGAACGTGACCCGCGGACCGGGCAATGTCGTCAATGACGCTTGGTGAATGGTATACATGGGTGTTCTCTCCCCTCCAGCCCAGGTCACGTTTCGAGATGTGCATTCGTCGAGGCGGGAATGGCCATCAAGCCAACTGGCGTTCTCGTCTCATCATCTCCAGCACGCCCACGACGCCGTTCTTTCGAAGTCTCTCCAGGACGACGCGCATGCCCTCACGGCTCTTGCCCATCTGGTCCTGTGTCTTGCTCGAAGCGATGCTCTCGATACTGCGTTGAACGCCGCGCGCGCCGAGTCCGCTCATCCAGCCTGGCATCCAGCGACCCTCCTTTTGCTCCGGCTGCTCGACGGCAGATTGCATCTGGTCCTTCTTGCCGCCACGAAGCCTCTCGCCGAGACGCGACTTGTAGACATATGTGGTTGTGACGTCGGTGTTCGCGTCAGCTGCATCAGCGGGAAGGCGGAAATCCTGCTTCTCCACAACGGAGAGCACATTCATGAAGCTGAGGTTCTTGCTTTCGGTACGCATCCAACCCTCGCGCATGTCAATGACAGAGTTCTCCAGAACGTAGCTGACTTTCTCGCTGGAGCCACCGCCGGTGATGGATGTAGGGAGAAGCTTGAAGACAGGCGCAGGCATGCGAGACTTCTTTAGGTGGATGCGGGTGGTGTGCAGACGGCCCGTCACCGGGTCGAGGCGACTATCGATGGTGTCGGTGCTGAGGACATGGGTGGAAAACGGGTTGAGCTTGGGCGAAGAGTAGCGGAGGAAGTAGGCGAGTGTCACGGTCGGGAAGGGGTGGGAGTAGGTGTGGTTCGTGGTGTGCGAGAGGACCATGTTGACGAGAAGCGTATTCGGGTCGATATGTTCTTGCAATACTTCAATCGTCGTGGGTCGAGTGTTCGTTGCGAAAGGCGCTCACGTTCGTCGGAATGCAAGAGGCGTTGACATTGAGAGCCTCGAGATGGCAATCCAATGCACGTATTGATTGTTGATTCGAGGGAGGAAAAGAAGAATTTGAAGCTTCGTCCGGAAGCTCGGCCACCAAGTCGTCGGTTTTTGCCAGGGTCGGGATTTGATCTGCGCCCAGACTTCGTCGCAGTCGTAAATGGTATGGAAAGGCGAAGGAATGCGAGAAATGAAGAGAGGGAAGTGGCCGCAGCTAAAGAGGGGGTTAGATGGTGACGAGGAGGACGAAGATGAGGAGATGAGGAGGGGAGGGGAGAGGAGAGGGCGGATGTAATGATGTAGTGCTCGTGCGTATATCGTTCGATAGGTCGATGATTTTGGGGAAGAAGCTTCCCGTCCGGTGCGACTTTCTTTTTGGTCTGGGTCCAGTGCCTCCTTCCCCGACTATGCCGCACCGTCCACACCGGGTCCTTCCAGCCACTGAGAGGAGGCGCCAATTGGCTTTGTCTGCAGGTATTGCGGCTAATGATTGGCTGAGAGGTGCATCTGCGCCCGCTTTTCGTCAGACGAGCTTGGGCCGTCCGAGTGGCAAAATCACATGATGTGGAGTACACCGAGCTCACCGAGAGCTTACCTTACCTTACCTTAAGGTACCTACCTGCCTGCCTGCTTACCAAGGTGCGAGCTGTCAGTCGTTGGTTTAAGCCTCACCTTGGCCCCACCTCGGAACTCAACCTCAGCTTAAAGATGGAAGCTCGCTGCTCGGACTTTGACTTTACGTCTGAAACCCTCCACGTGTATGCCGTATGGTGGCTTGTGGGGAAACGTTTGATGGTGGAAATGGTCCGATGCTCTCCGCCGACCACACCGCTCGCTTGGTACTCGAGGACGAGTCTCATTGGCTGTCGATCTTGATGTGATGTTCCGGGGCATCAAACATTTGCTCCGGCATCGTTCGGTGGTGACATGAGACCTCAAATCGGATCTTCACTACATAGCCAGGGTTCGGCAAGATGTTTACTGAGAAGGTGATTGAGGGTCGTGCATTGTACATTCTTTCCAGAAGACACCAAAGAGGATAACCTTAGTAGCATTGTAATTCAACGGGGGAATGTAAGCCTATGACTTTTGGATTGTCATCAATAGTTTGGAATTTGCAATTGATAATTGCACCATGATTCCTATCCCTACGATATATTCCTACATCCTAGCATGTGAAGTTCCCATCATCTTACCTATTGTGTCTAGCCTGCCATAGCCTTAGGTCGTGGCAGAATTATCATAAACTGGTTGATACGACTGGTCCAAGGAATGTCCTGATCTTACATATGCCCAACATTACCCCTCTACGGCGCGTTTGCATCTCTCATGTAGAGCGTAACGCTAGACACTGGCAACGACGCAACTCCGTTAAACGCCATCCGTCTGAGCCTACCCGGGAGTCTTTTCTCGCACCTGACGCATTAGCAAACATCACTCAGACAATGTTTGTGATCTTGGCGATCCCGCTGGCGCCACTGACTGAGACATGCCGAGGATCGCACCGACGTCGTCCTCGTCCCCTTCCCTCGCAAAGACGCCCTCGCCCGCGACCCGCCACCCCTGCACGCCGCTAAACTGCACAAACTGCACCGCCATATCCCACGCCTCCTTGTCCGCCGCGTCGCCGCTCTCAAAGACGCTCAGCTCGAGCCAGGGGCTGTCCGGGCTCGGATTGAAGAGCTCGCGGAACAGCATCGAGTAGGCCGTGTTGCGCTCCATCCAGAGATCGGCGAGGTCGACGTTGCGCATTTCTTCGTGGTCGGAGAGGATGTCGTTTCGGGGAACGAGCTGGACGAAGAGGCGGTCGAGGCGCGGGACGTTTTGGACGAGGGTGTTGAAGTGGCTCGAGAGGGGGAAGATGCCGACGTAGGAGAGGTCGCGGATCGAGGAAGGGATCATGGGTTCGTCGTTTGGGAACTCTTCTGCGCCCAGAAGAGCGCCGAGGATGGAAGGTGGGCGTTTGAGGTAGAATTCGTATGTCTTGTAGACTCGCGTCGAGGATCCTTCGTTGAGTAAGAGAGCCTGCCATGGGCGGATGGTGAATAAGCCACAGGGAACACGCTTCTGATGTGTGACTTCAGAACCAGATGCCTGACTTGGTGATGACACTGTCGCCGGTGCCTCGAGTTGCGTCTCTTTTGTCCTTTTATCTTTGCGTGATAGTGAAAGAACATGCCTAGGCATTGAAAAGTTCCACGCATCCCCAAGGAAGAGCATACGCGATAGCATCTGGGCCAGCACTCGTGGCGACGCAATCATTGTAAGCCGGATGGGATCAATATGTTCAAAGATTGTCGTCCATAGCCAATTATAGTCTTCGCTGTACGAGGCCTTGTTCGCAAAGCCTGTCTCCATAAGTGTGGCACTGCTGGTGCCGTCCGATACGCCGCCCATGGCATCTTCGACAAACATTGAAAGTGTTTCGACATAGTTGGTTAAATTGTTAGCCCGTAGGAATGACAGAAAGTCGATCGCAGATGCAGGGTTTCCCGTCTCTTCCATGAGCGACAGCTCGAATCGGTCGAATGTCCAGACCACATGGCGGAACAGCAGAGGGAGCACGGCACCTCGCCATCGCTTGCAAACGAGAGAAGTATTCTTGAGATCGCGGTCAAAGAAGAGGTTCTGCAGCATGAAAGAGCTCGGTTGATCATGGAGTTTCGAGTCTGATGGCGCAGGTCGGTCCAGGTGGGAGAATACCTGGCTTAGGATCTCGTTTGGGAGATCATTGACGGAGGTGGCCATCGTTGCTTGTATTACAGCAGGGGCTGTCAGAAACTTCTCGAAGATGCAGAATTCGTGTCGACAGATTGACGCGGAGTGGAAGATGCTGTCGAAGGAAGTACACGATGTGGGCTGGAGGGCAATGTTTCACGGAACAGTCCCGACCGAGGCAAGTTTCAAGTTCAGATGAAGCGAGAAAGCCGCCCCGAGGAGAGGAAGGTTAATGAACTGCTGATGGAAGTATCGCAATTCGATGATTCAGTCAAACAATGCGGATGAAGAAGGACATAATTGACGGTGGATGCTATTATGGAAACTCTGCCATTCAATGAGGTGAAGCTCCGAGGTTACCTGTCCTGGATGGGGGCGACATGTCACCGCGGGGTCCTGGTCCGTTTGCCCCGCCACGGGAACGGGCGGCCTTTGCCACAGTGCTCCACCAGAGCTCCTGCGATAAGATAACGATAAAAGCTCCGAGTTCGAAGCTCCTGGTCTTCACACCTTCCTCCCATGACATTTCTTGGTACCTCTAGTTTGCGTGTCTGAGACTCTCGAAGGGCATTAAGTGCATGTGGCAACCGTTGGATTGATCAATTCGTGGACTGACCATGAGTGGATCGTGCCTTGAGGTCATTGAATGAGACGGCTCATACCAATCTCGATGGCATTGGGAATTGCTGAAAGCACGGCAGCCGAGGAATCGGCAATGCACTTGAGCTACACAAGATTCCAGTCAGCACTTACATACCAGAAATTACTTTATTTTATGTCGGAAGACTTATGATCTTGAATTGCATGCAAGCCATATGCAAGTTTCTTTTCCTCGAACGACAATCATTCAGCGTCTCCACCGCTGCGCTCCTGCGGCGCATAGCCACCTAGCCTTGGCTGCGCCTAGAAGAAGCAAACCACTCTCGAGAATGACTACAATCTAGCAGGAACCAGGCACCAATTCCAAAACACTCGCCTTTACTTAAGCGGCCACCGACTGATAACCGATTCCGATGCCGCTCTACTCATCTGCCGTCCAGCAACTTATGATCAGACCCCCTCGACTAAGCTATGACAAAGGGCGGGGAAAGCGGGGAATCTTGGTGGGTGGGCAGCTCGGGGGAAGTGGTGATGGTGGCACGGGATGACATCGTCCTGGCGGGGGTCTAGGTCCGAGGAAGCGCAAGTCTGTTTGCTTCAGGTAGTCTTACACCAGAGTGGACGCCCTCGCGAGATCTGGTTCGAATGGCTGGCCAACCTAGGAAAGTTACCTAGCTAGGCCAATGGATCTCGCAATGCCGAAGGCCCATCCCGTTTCGCAACCCCACGCTCCGTCGCGAGTACCAAAGTCTATATATACGCCGTGAACCAGGAAGTTCTTCTCTGACTTGGCTCCAGCACCATCCAATTCATAGCTCTGTTTTACACGAAGAGAAAATAATCATGACGTCCAAGAACCACCAGAAACCGCCCTTCCGCGCCGAGCACATGGGCTCGCTCCTGCGGCCCAAGGCCCTCACTGACAAGCGCGTCGCCTTGGACGGGAAAAAGGCCGTGGAGATTGCAGACGACCAGGAGCTCAACCGCCTTGAGGAGGAGGGCGTGCGCGAGATCATAAAGACGCAGCTGGACCTCGGCTTCCACGCCATCAACGACGGCGAGTACCGCCGCCACCAGTTCTGGGGCAACTTCTTCCCCGGGCTGGAGGGGTTCGAGGAGGTCGACACGCCCAGCTGGGATATCTTTCGCATGTACGTGCCAGACATTGCGGCGTTTAGTAAGTCTTGGCCCACAGGATACTCGCTCGGTACTCGAGATTGGGGAGACTGACGCTATATGACACCCAGTTGAGAGCGACCACAAGCCCGGCGAGTCCATCGTCTGCACCGGCAAGATCAAGCACAAGGGAAGCACCTACCTGAGAGAATGGGAGTTCCTCAAGAGCAACATCCCTCCCGAGAGCGTCAAGGAGGCCAAGTTGACCTTGCCCGCGCCCGAGTGGTATCACCTCCGCTACCAAAAGGGCCACGCCTACCCCAAGGACGTCTACGCCAACGACGAGGAGTACTTTGCCGACATCGCCAAGGCGTACCGCACCGAGCTCGAGGTTCTTTATGAGCACGGCGTCCGCAATGTGACGATTGACGACCCCAACCTGGCGTGTATGTGAAGCCACCCCATGTCTCTCCTATCGACGGATCTTTCCTTAAGCTACAGTCCACTGACAGAACATATCGCCGCCCAGACTTTTGCTCAGAAAAGATGCTCCAAGGCTTCAAAGAAGCAGGCGAAGACTCAGACGCCCTCCTCCAATCCTACATCAAACTCTACAACGACTGCATCACCTCCCGTCCCGCAGACATGCACCTCGGCATCCACCTCTGCCGCGGCAACTTCGCCTACTCGCGCCACTTCTCCGAGGGAGGCTACGACCGCATCGCCTCGCGCCTTTTCAACGAGATCAACGCCGACACCTACTTCCTCGAGTACGACACCGACCGCGCGGGCGGGTTCGGGCCGCTAAAGGAGCTGCCGGCGCACAAGAACGTCGTGCTGGGCGTCATCACGTCCAAGTTCCCCGAGCTCGAGGACGTTGGGAAGCTGAGGGAGAGGGTGTTCCAGGCGGCGGATTATGTTGCGCAGGGGGCGGGGCAGACGCGCGAGGAGGCGTTGAAGAGGATTGGGGTGAGTCCGCAGTGCGGGTTTGCGAGTCATCATTTGGGGAATTCGGTTTCGCGTCAGGATATGGTGAATAAGTTGAAGCTTGTGAGGGAGTTGGCTGATTCGATATGGCCGGGTCAGCCTTGAAGTCTTGGAAGTTGGGCGAGCAGCGGCGTTCGGGGTTGGTTGTTGCATGGAGCTTAAGGGGTGCTGCTGTGCTGAAGTGTATCTTCCTCTGTCAGATGTTGTAATTGAGGTTGCTTGTATGTATGTGGTAACTCATAGCTGTGGCAACTTTGAACCGAACATGCCTTGCCAGAAGCCTCTGTGATGAAGAGCTCCGACGGAGCATCGACCAACCATTGAAAAGTTCTCTAACGCGCGAAGTCAAGAAATGTTGCCACACGTGGTAGTCGGAACGAGACAGGAACAGAGTCCTCACTGCGGAAAAGAAAGGGTATCATTTGAGCTCGAAGCTCGACCTACGCCAAACTCCGTCTCCATCGCGCAAGCAAATGCCAAGCTGTTAACCAACTTCTAATATCACACGCATATCTTCCCCCTCTCACCGCCAGAGGCGCTAAAACACCAACCCGACCTCACGCAGTCAAAGGCTGCGGATTATTCCCCACCGTCTTATACAGCTCCCTCAGCTCAAACTCCTCGTGCCCGCCCTCGGGCACCTCGCCAACCACGCGCGCCGGCTGGCCCGCGACGACGCTGAAGCTCGGGATCACCATGTTGGGCGGCACGACGGTGCCTTCGAGGATGCGGACGTAGTCCTTGACGATGGCGAACTCGCCAATGACGGAGTCGCGGCCGATGTGGATGTGGTTCCCGATCGAGGCGGCCTGGATGACGACGTTTGCGCCGACGAAGACGTGGTCGCCCATGCGGAGGGGCATGTATGTGAAGGCTCTAGGAACGTAGGAAAGTCAGCAAGGGATTGATTTGGTTTGTTATCGTGGGCTGGGAACGCATACCCTTTGTACATCCGTCCCGGGGGCCGGAGGAGCGCGCCCCTGGAGAGGAAGCAGTACCGCCCGATCGCGACGGCCGTGCTGTTGGCCGGGGCGCCGCCGGCAGAGGGCTGTGCTGAGCGGGCGAGGTCGCCGCGGATCATGACCTCTGGTTGGATTACCGTCTTGCCGCCTAGCATGATATTCTGGGTGCCGACGAGGGTCGCTTTACGGGCGACCTTGTTGCCTGTGTCCTGTTGTTTTTTCGCGAGAGTTAGTCGGTAAACTCGGTGCGTGGATTGTGTCGAAGGGGGGTGATTTTGAGGGGATGAAGGACGTACGGTCTCAATGTAGTCTCCTTTCGCTACTCTGCGCGACATGGTGGGCTGGTGGTGGAAGCTCTGGGGAGCATCTGGGTTGAAGCTTGGATACGTATAGGTGAGAGTTCGCGTATGGCGAGATGGGTGTGACGTTGGTTGGAGCTTCCTGTCGGCGGGTCAGTGCGCCCGCCGCTATACACCGGCGGGGTGTGGCCGGCTCATTATAGGGGTCCCGGAGCGACTTCTGGAGGGGAACCGGCCCGCGCTTTATCTTCATCTGCATCTCAGTGACAATCCCGGAATTGCGCTCAAGCAGACGGCGATAATTCTGATCACTGCACTCCCAAGCCTTCCTGGAACCAAGATTGCAGCAAGCCGTCAATTCGACAATTCTGTTCAAGCACTAGGTAACTTATACCAAAGTCTGTATCTTGGGTAGACAGATACAACTCAAGCTTAAGTACTAGGTACGTATCTCGCAGATGCACACCTCGATGCCAGATAAAACCAGCCGCCGCCTCAATGATCTTTTTCCGTAAATTGCCATGAGTCCAGTTATCCAACGATGCTATGAACATTTCCAGTCGTTGGGGACCCCAGCGGACAAGTATGCCAAGTACGCCAATGTCCCAGGTATTCGTATCAAAATAACCCGTACGCCGTTTTCTACCATATGCTTGATGATTCTCAACCACGTTCGTCACCTCCTTTTCGTTCGACATCGACCACTAAATATCAGGAAAATATGCGATCCCACTGCGCTTTGATCGTTCCTCAATGGGGCATGCCACCCATGTCAAGCATATGTCCCATCTTTTCAATCTGTAGTTCTGTTAGATCAAGCAATTCAAAGGCAACAAAACACAACAGAAACATACCTTCGTCTTCAAGTACCCCTCAACCTCATTGCTCCGGAACCCACCCCGGCCCTTCCACGAGAGCGGCACCATCGCAACGCGCTCCGTAACCCTCACCTCGCGATTGGGGCCCTCCACCGCCCGAATCTTATCCGGGTTATTCGTCAGTAGGCGCACCTCGCTCTGCCCAAGATCCTGCAGCATCGCCGTCGCCAACCCGTAACTCCGCGCATCCGCAGGGTGACGCAGCAGCAAGTTCGCCTCGACGGTATCCGAGCCGAGGTCCTGGAGGTTATACGCCTTCAACTTCTCACCGAGACCAATACCGCGCCCTTCCTGGCGCAGGTAAATAATGATACCACCATTCGTGTTGCCCGGCAAACTCATCAGCCTTGCCGCCTCGTCGAGCTGCTCGCCGCAGTCGCACCGCGCAGACCACGCCGTCTCACCCGTGTAACACTCAGAGTGAATCCTCACCAGCGCAGGCCCGCGCTGCGCAGGCGGCTCCTCGCCGACGGGGGTCGCCACGCCGCCCGGCATACCGCTCGTCGACCGTCCGGGGAACAAACGACCCGTGTACGCGCCGCGAATCATGCGATCCATCTCCGTCTCGCCCGGCCGCGGCGCATCGAGCGACTGGCTGCGGATGTGGGGCCCAAAGACGATGGCCAGGTGCTCCTTGTTGTCGACGTTGTTGGTGTACAAGTGCAGGAACATTTCGGTGCCGTTGACGGTGGGGATGCGCGCGCGCACGATGCACTGCACCTCGGGGAGGGTCTCGAGGAGGCGGGGGCGTTTTGTGCCGCAGCCGCCCGAGGGGACGGAGCTGTCGACGGGGACACCGCGCGGGGCCGCCTCGGCTGTGAGGGGGGTTGATGTCCCCGGTGTCGCGGGCGGTGTGAAGGCTGGCGAGAGGAGGGAGGGCGGCGGGATCTGGGTGGCCGAGGTTGTTGATGCGGCGTCGTCGTCGGCTGTTGCGGGGGCTGCCGCGGCGGGGTTGGAGAGGCTCAATTGTTCGGGCTCTGGGTGCGCGGTGCCCGAGGCATGGTCGGATGGACCGTCGACTGTCTTTTGTTTCGGGGAGTAGAAGGAAGGGAGCTGGTGAGTGTCTTCGCGCCAGTCACTGGGCGCTCCCGCGCCGTCTGGCTTGCCTTCGAAGTCGGGCATGGCGGGGGTTTTTGGTGATGGAAAGTCGCGGAAGTGGGGGGAGGGAATTGGTGCGCTGTGCAGAACAGGTAACGTTGGAACGTGAAACGGTCAATTCCAAAGGGGTATAATCGTCCACAGGGTATACTGGCGGAGGAAGTAAATCAGAACGTGGTTGAAAAGAAGCCAGATGTCAAGAGCGGGAGAGAGACTCAACGGCGGAACAGCGGCGTGAGCGGCAAGAACATTAAATCGGTGACCGGTTCCGCTCCGAACGGCGAGGGGTGGTGAAATGCGGTGGTTGTGGTAGTGGTGGGCAGGTGGTGGTTGTGTCTGGCATTAGTCATGCAGGAAGATGATGACAGCACGGGTGCATCTGCCATAGCAATCTGCGCCGGCTAGGTACCTCGACAGGCGGAAGTTCCTAAAGTTAGTGGGCGGGCACGCAAGGTCGGCCCTCGACCGCACTTCGCCGAGGTTCCAGCGATCCGACGGCTATGGGGCTTGAGGTACCTACTCCAGAGAGGTGGGTGTTCTCTCGCGCGCGCGGAGAGTTCGGGGTGTTTGGTGCTATTCTCTTTGCTTAGGTCAGATTCGAGTGAATCGAGCCCACTTTAGCGGTCTCCAACTTGGATTTCAGGGTTTCTTTAGCGGGGTCGGCTCTGTTCCGCGCTGAGCTTTTTGCACGCAGTCTGTGGGGCTCTCCCTGATTACATCATCAAATCCTGGTATCGGCAAATTCAAGAATTGCACCTCACTGTCAAGTGCACTCGATGACTCTCACACTGAAGGTCGGGTTGATTCAACTAGCATCACCTTACTCTGGAATACCTATCCCTGGGTCAAAACGTCTCGAAATCTACTCTTGTCTTCTTCCGCATACCTTACTCAATAAAATCTGTTCATTCATATCTCCATTAATATATTTTCCTCAGTCTCTGGCCCTTTGTTGAAATGTGACGGCTCAGAACGAGACCTGACATTTGAGCCAATCAAGTGCTCCGTTTCCGCGAAAGCCCAGGATGTCTGTGTCAGCATTAAAAATCAACCGCGCGGTGCTTCAGACAAAGCTCTCCATCACCAACGAACCATCCGTCGTCGGCTCCGACCTGAGCTCGTTAACGGGGATGCGTCCCGTCTACTATTCCAAAAGGCCATCAAAGTGCAAATACGAAGGCTACAAAGGCTCCTACCCGATATCCTATTTTCCGGTGTGTCGCGGGTTCCTGCATTGCATCTGTGCGGCTCTGGCGTATCCCAGCCTGCCTCCTGTCCATTATGTTTCTATCCCGGCCGCATCCATCGTAGCCATCATAACTTTAAAAGTAGCCATATGGCTGGAGTTGACCCGAATGGCATCAAACGAGTCTTCTCTTTGTGTGAAGTTGAATCTGTAAGTGGGCGACCACCACTGCGCTGGTCACTACTGCGGTCATATACTAGGCACCCGACTTCTTGACTCGGATAAGATATCAAGACAACCGGCAAGACAGAATCAAAATAGTAACAGTGGTGGAAGTGTGTCGCCAAGTTCAGACTCGAACTCTGACATGCGTGTAGTTTGATTGGCCGCACTGCATTTGTGCTCTTCTGCCCTCCTGGAACATCGGAGGTTCCTCTTTGGCGGCTTTTCCTACGACCTTACTTGGTAGGTACCAAGCACCAACATCGCGAATGTGGCTGATGACCTCCCAGTACCTTGAGTACTATCTAATGTGTCTAGATTTTGCTTCCAAGTGAAGCAAAATAAAATTGCTACACCTGGAAGCTGAAGTGATCGTAGACACGAATGCAGATTGGCCAAGTTGCCGAACCAATAAACTCACCGCATCCTCTGACGCTCCTCGCCGAGACAACCAACGCGAACGCGCATCGAACCAAAAAATCTCGACAGGCCACTTGCATTGGTGGTTCGCGTTTCTGGATGTGCTGTCAAACGTGAGTCACAACCGCAGCAACGCCCCCATCATCACCCATGCAACCCGTTTCGTTTTTTTCGTCTCTTCCCGTCTCAATCCAGTACAATCAACAACCTCCCATCACCGATTTGAGATGCCATGCCCACCAGCCCGTGCGGGTGGCGCGGGAACCATTGGCTTTCACTCTCCCGTCCCTGCTGCAACCACTTGTCGCCTCCTCCCGAAGTCTCCAGACTTCCAGTCCCCTCCATGATCCCATCCCGTTTCAGTCCCTCCCATGCAAAATGCCAGGCACATCATAGGAAGTCGACCACCTCTAAGCTATGAGGCTCGTCTTCACCCCCTTCTTTTGTTTACTCTCGGTTCCATGGATCAAGTGATCCACCAGACTAATGCGACGGCCTAGCGGTTCGTCGAGGCCTCATTGTTTCCTGTTTCTTGTTGTGGCCAACACGCTCCCCTCGTCCAGTGGAGTGCTCCATGCAGCCAGGATACGAAAACATCGCCAACTGGCAGGTCCCTCACACAACCACACACTCACTCTCGAGTGATATAAGAGGATCAAGTGACTTCTTCGTCTCAATGCTTTTTTCTTGCATCTCACCAAAACAAGAATCAGCAGCTCATCTGACAAATACTACACCACTCATTTCGAGGACCTCGATAATACCGGCTACTTTCAAGGTCACTAATAAGAGCATATCTATCTTACTCATCTCATCGCCCAACCTTCATTCAGTAATACTTCATCTCACACTTTCATTCCCTCGACAAACGTCAGCTTCACTTCATCGACTGAACTATACAACCACTTACAATCTTTAACCATCACCACACCAACAAACAAAAACACCACAAACAACCTCTAAAATGGAATCCTCCAACGTAATTGCCTGGCTGCTTCCCTCGTCCACAAACCAACCAGCCCTCGAAGCAATCCGCATGCCCCAAAACGCAACCCGGGCCGTCTCCACGATCCCCTCATCCTACGAACCCATCATCCAAACACCAAACCCAAACCAACTCCCGCCCACAACACCAACAATCGACCCCTCTCTCCTCACCAAATCCTTATTCTCTAACCTCGAGGCATCTCTCACCAAACCCCGCCCAGCCCTCTCCCTAAGTTTCACATCGCCCCCCAAATCCAACCCAGGCTTCGTCCTCGGCACCGACCCTGCCCTCGCAGACATCCTCCTCCCTTCCCTCCCGGGTATCGCCCCAGCCCACTGCCACATCACCTTTGACGCCTCCCACCGCCTCGTCCTCGTCGACACCTCGCACACCGGCACGGCCGTCTGGTACGACGGCGCCAGCTCCGGCGACCGCACCCGCGAATCCTGGGTCCTCGGCGCGGGAAGCAGCTACGGGTTCCCCTCTATGGTCGACCGCGTCGTAATCGACATCCAGACGGTGCGGTTCCAAGTCATCATCAACGAAGCACACGTCCTTCGGCCCGAGGTCTACAAGGAGAACGTCGAGGCCTTCATGTCAAGCCTCGAGAGCGCCAGCATCATCGCAGAGGCGGCAGCAGCAGCAGCACCACCACCAGAGGAAAAAACACCAGACCTCGACGCCAGCATCCTCGCCTCCATCCTCGCCAACCACTCATACTCCTACTCTCAAAAAGAAGACCAACAGCTCGTCCGCCGCGACGAAAAGGACGTCTGCGACTTTTACTACAACTTCAACTTTGACCTCGGCTTCGACCTGAGCTACGACTGCGACTACGACTTCGACTACGACATGTCGGACGACGAAATGGTCGACGACGTCGCCGAGGAAGAAAAGATGGACTTCCTCCCACCGATTCCCTCCGTCGTGCCGCCGGCGTACGTGAAGTACCTGCTCACCTCGGACGACGGGGCGCCGCCGGAGACGTATCTCTGGAACACGGCGAAGCCTTGGGAGCCGATGGTCAAGGTTGTTTGCTGAGATCGTCCTTGACGAGGGATTCATACGTTTTTTGTCTCGAGATAGAGACAAAAAAAAAGGACTAAGCGTGAAAAAAAGACGCAGAGAAAAAACTTGTGTAAAATCAGGTTTCTTATGGAGTACATTTGTCCCAAAGGTGCTGGCACTGGACGGCGTTTGGTTCTCATTCATTGCTTTGGAGTCTTCGGCGGGATTTTTTGGTCGCTATCACCAGCACTTTACACTCATTTTCGCCCCTTTCAAGATTGGCATTATTTCATTTCTCATCTAATAGCATATTTTCATTTCGTCTGTTTCGTTGTACATTTAGAACAGATACCCCCATCCGCATGGCCTCCCGTTCCTTTGTTTATTGTATATAAGACACAACAGTCCAAGAAAAGAAGAAAAAGTATAGCTGGCAGTCACCGTTCGCATTTGTCAACTTCGCCAAGTCTACCGCAAGTGAGCGGGGGGGGAAGTCTGGGGAGATTTGGGATCGCGACGTGAGGATTATCCCGCGGAGACGACAATCGGCACTCACCCTCGCCACAATTGGAGATCTCCGGCAACCACTTTGAGTACGGTAGGGCGAATGCTGGGGTTGGAATTTGGGGAAAGCGGGAAGCGCCAAAAAGCAACGGGCGGGCTAATGAGGCCAGACCAACGACCTTATCTACCGCTCAATCTTATCTCCAGACTTTCAACCATGTGCGTTCGCGCCAATCTGTTTCTCCGCGGGCTGCAGGATCGGAATGATGTTCACCGAATCTATCGGAAGAGTTGCGATATGGATGGAAAATGGCGTTTTGTAGAAATATTCATATCTAGAGTACCTCTACCCCCTTAGACCTTGGAATCCAAATGTTGAATTGTCGATGACCTCTCGCCCTCCTGCCGGTGCTCTTGACAAATATTCTCACCGCAGATAGACAAGACACACCACTAATGAGAAAATGGCCTCAGACGACGGCGAAACCAACGAGAATAGCCCTCTCCTCCCAACATCCCAAACCAGACAATCCACCCCGAACTCATCTCACCAAGCCTCACTCTCCAAAGCAGACCAAGCCCTAGGCCAATCACCCCCTCTAGGCGACCGCCTCCCCTACAACGACTACACAACCATCGACTGGCTCCGCGATCTGACAAAAGACTCCTCCCGCGCCCGACGTCTCCGCGCACGCCCAGGTATCCGCGGCACCGCAGTGCGCTGGTTCGACCAGTGCCAGGGCTGGATCGCCGCCGCGGTCATCGGCGCGCTCACGGCTCTTGTCGCCTTTGTCGTCGACGTCTCCGTGGCGACGGTGAGCGATTGGAAGGAGGGGTACTGCAGGACGAATGTGTTCTTGGACCGTGGGCGGTGTTGTTGGGGGGTATCGGAGACGGAGGTTTGCGATGCTTGGAAGCCTTGGGTCGATGAGGGTGAAGGAAGGGGGTACGCTGCCAGCTATGCAGTCTACGTGCTGTTCGCCCTCCTCTTCGGCATCGTCGCGGGAAACGTCACCATGACCACCAAAGCCTCCCTACCAGCCGTCGACGCCGACACTGCCGTCACAGCAGGTGCCATGACGGAGGGCAAGACTATGTACATGGCCGCCGGCAGCGGCATCCCCGAAATCAAGACGATTCTGTCGGGCTTCGTGATCCCTCACTTCCTAGACTTCAAGGTCCTGGTCGTGAAAGCCGTGGGCGCAACCTTTGCCGTGTCGACGGGCATGTGTCTGGGCAAAGAGGGTCCCTTTGTCCACATCTCGACGTGCGTCGGGTGGCTGGTGGCCAACCGGTTCCCTAAGTACAGGGACAACCCGCGCAAGATGCGGGAGATGCTGAGCGTGGCGTGCTCTTCCGGCCTGTCCGTCGCTTTTGGTGCGCCGATTGGCGGTGTGCTGTTCAGTTACGAGGTATGTTTTTGATTGTTTTGATGTGTCTGGTCTCGTGGTTCCAATCGGACTGGGGTTGACGATGTTGACGAAACCCATCAATTAGGAAATTAGCACGTACTTCCCACGACGCGTATTGTGGCGTGCGTTCTTGTGCTCGCTCATCGCGGCCATTGCTCTCAAAGCACTGAATCCCACGGGAACCGGGAAGCTGGTGCTCTTCGAGACGAGCTACGGAGTCGACTATGACCCGGTGCACTACTTGGTGTTTGTGTTGCTGGGTGTCGTTGGCGGCGTGTTTGGCGGAGTATTCTGCAAGGCCAACTTTCTCTGGTCCAAACGTTTCCGCAGATACGACATCGTCAAGAAGCATCCCGTACTTGAGTTGTGTTGTGTTGTATTGGCCACCGCTCTGCTGCAGTACCCAAACGTGCTCATCCGCGACACGGGCGACGTGGCACTCTCGAGGCTACTAGTTGATTGTAAGGAGCCAGACGGCAACTGGATATGTCAGCAGGAGAGGAGCAACGACAAAAGAGCGTACATGCTGCAGCTCGCAAGCGGCACGGTCATCAAGTTGCTCTTGACTATCATCACCTTTGGATGTAAAGTCCCCTCTGGCATCATCATCCCCGCTCTCGACGGCGGCGCTCTATTCGGACGATTAGTCGGTCAGTTCGTTGGTGGGATCTCGCCTGGTATCTTTGCAATGGTCGGCGCGGCGGCTTTCCTCGCGGGTGTGAGCAGGATGACTGTGAGCTTGGCTGTTATCATGTTTGAGCTGACTGGCGAGGTGACGTACGTGCCAGCCTTTATGTGTGCCATCCTGACCGCCAAATGGGTGGCGGACGCGATCTCCGGAGAATCCGTCTACGACCTCTCACAACACCTGCTAGGCCACCCCTTCCTTGATGCGGAGCAAGCTCACGAGGTGGTGCGGAAGCGCGAAGCCACCGCCCGTGAGCTGGTTCCTCCGGCCGGGACAATGGAGGAGATCACCCTGGGGGTGGGCAGCGTGTACCGCGTCCGTAGGGATGTGCTGGCGGAGAAGCTGCGGAAGCTGAAGGCCAGGGGACTCATGGATGCGGGCCTCGTTCTTGTCAACGATGCTGGACTGCTGTTCGGCTATCTGCCCGAGGCAGAAGTAGAATATGCGGTGCTAACTGGCGGCGAAGCGGAGGAACTTGATTTGCGGACTGGCGTCATGACCGAGCTGGTTGATCGAACGCCGCTCACAATCTGCGCTGAGGCCCCGATGGAGCACGTTTTGGAGATGTTCGGGAAGTTGGGCCCTAGGTACATCATCATTCTTGAGCCGGAGACATCGAAGGTCCTGGGCGTTGTGCTTAAGAAGCGACTGCTGGACTTTTTGGATCGGGTGAAGGCGTCTTGACACATCGGCCTGAGCCACTTTAGAGTCTCAAAATTTAGCGCAACCAAATCAAAGTCTTAGTCCTAACATCCTGTCGTTTTTCTGGCCGGCAATCTGGGTTTGAATGACCAGTTGTTTAGCTTTGTCTTCAGAGTAACCCATGCCCACGAGCTCTCGTGGATTATTCGTCTGTAACTCTGTCACGTCATTCTCCTACTGCCAGGGCGCATGACCGCAATTGTCCCTCCCACTTCCACACTTCAAGACACTGACTCCTCGTAATGCGTTCTCCTCGCAGATGCAGCGCTCTTCGCCATGTCGATCCCTGGTACCGCAGCAAACTTTCCTCATCACCGGGCCATAATGGAATCGCAAAAGACGTGAATTCGGCTCGATCTATGACCCTCGCGGCAAGATCAATCCCTTGCTGCCCTTTTCTGGCCCCCTGATCCTCAAATAACAGGTTATATACACAGACGCTCGCCGTCCCAGGCTCGTTTCGTTCGTCTCGTCCCGTTGCCGCCACTCTAGTTGCTTCTCGTTCCCTTCTCCGCGCGGAGCTCGTTCATCTTGGCGACACGCTTCTTGAACTCGTCGTATTGGCACTTCTCGTAGCTGTGGCGCTCGTCCTGTTTCAATTGGATTCTGCGTTAGCGACAAACTGTGTTCTCGGATTCATCGGACGGGTCGATTGAGAGGTCGATAGGGAGGCCGGGTAGGGGCGGATGTTAGGGACGAGAAAGACTAACATTGCACTTCCACGGAAGATACCAAGTGTCGACACGGCAGCGGTTGAGGGGGATGAGGAGGCCGGCGCAGCTGTCGCGGTAGGGGAGGGGGAGCTTCGCCTCCCGCATCTCCTCGCGGGTCGCTTCTGGAGAGGGATGTCAGCCATTGCGGGTGGGTGGATAGCATGGGGGAAGATTATGGGGATACGGACCCCTTGGTGCTGAGTCTCCGGCCATTGTGACGACAATTGGGGTCTGTAATGGGCGAATGAGGCTATCGTCGATGGTCAATTGGGATTCTGGATCTTGAAATGTCGTCGGAGCTTTGGATTGGACTGTGGAGCTTCCGACGGTGAATTCCCTGGTGGCCTGGATTGTGAGGCCAGAAAGCGGTTGATTACCTTTTGGGGCATTTGATTGGTTGAGTGGGTTCACTACCAGCACGGTCGCACCAGAGCCAGGAAGCCTTCTTTTCAATCCTCTGCCATGTCTTTACCAACTTGAACTTTATTACACTACATACCGCACTACAGAGTACTTTACACCGGGTTTTACAGTGCTGGGCGCCTTTACAAGCTCTAAGTTGTAGCCGCTTACACCCTTAACTCGACGACTTGTACGCACTCTTCATGTTCCTACAGTACTCAGTCTCTACACAACCCACCACATAACATAGCATACCCACTTCCCGAACGCGATAGTCTCTTTATCTGGTTATCTACAAATCCCTGATTCACTGATAAGTTGTGTGGTGAATGGCGAGGTACCCAAGTAAAATCATCCGTGGGGTGGTGGTGAGCGCAACCCTTCAAGCCCGCCTGCAGCAACGTAACATTCCCCGAGTCGATCGTCGGCAGCGGCCTTCAGTCTATCTAGCCATTTCGACTCATTATCGATGAGATCTGTGCGGTATTTCTTCCCCTCAAGTACTTGTCAATGGCAAAACGTCTCTACGTTTCGACGGGAAGGACTTTACCTCTTAAGCCGAGCTGAGGGGCTCACCATCCGAGACTTTTCTGCACAAGAGCCGATCACCCAAAACCAACTCCTATGAATTCATCCAGAACCCCAAAACACCTTCCCATTGTCGCAGGTCGGCCCTTGGACCGGAGACAATAGTTCCTGCCGGAGTGCCGAGGCGTGCCACCCGACCTGGGGCCATCGCCATCTCCCAACGCTCACCTTCCGCTTCCGGCTAACCTGTCGGCCCACGCAACGAACTTCCCATCACCTGCAAATGCCTATCAGAGATCGTAAAGCCGTTGTCAACCCGCCTACAACCCCCCGGTCTCATTATGGAGACCTCGTCGCATTTGGCCCTTGGGCCCCGTGCGATGCCGGGGTCGCACCGGGGCTAGTACCTCTCCCGCCAACACTTGGAAAGCTTGTTCCTGTTCACTGTTGCAATACTGCGAATGTCGACAATGTCAAGGCATGCGCTGTTGCATGGCATGCTGCTTAAGCGGACCCGATCATCGCTTCGTATTACCGTGAGATACGGGGTCTGCGCCCTGGACCCATGTACAGCGCTTCTCTTAAAAGATGCAGCTCCCCCGCGGCCGTGATCATGGAGCTGGAGTTCCTTCTTGGTTGACGAGCGTGCCAAGCCAGTCGTTCTGTGTTCTGAAGATCCTCGGCTCTCCGTCACCATGAAGGTCTCACTCGCCTTGCTCAGCTGCCTCGCGGTGGCCCAGGCCCATTTCGCCTTCCAGCCCATCCAGCCTCCTCTGAGGGCTGAAGACGAGGAGGAAGGAACTCTCTCCAAGAGAGAAGCCGGTTTCTTTGAGCAGCTCATCGACCATAATGATCCGTCTCTCGGGACCTTCCAGCAGAGATACTGGTGGAACTCCACGTACTGGGAGGGACCTGGTTCTCCGGTACGACTTGACTCGCCTGATGCTGTGGCCATCTCACTAATATGGATTGTAGGTGGTATTCTTCACGCCTGGAGAATCAGAGGCTGCCCCCTACACCGGATACCTCACGGATCGGGCCATTACAGGAGCCATTGCCAAGGCAATTGGCGGTGCCGTCGTTATGGTTGAGCGTATGGAACTTGCCATAGACACTTGAGTAGAGCCAAGAAGACTGATGCTGTGCAGATCGTAACTGGGGAACTTCCCTGCCGTACGCGGTCCAAGATACCAAGAACCTCCAGCAGCACACCATGACAAATGCCGTCCTCGACTTTGCCAACCTCGCCCGCAACGTTCAGCTGCCTTTCGACAAGAACGGCAGCAGCAACGCCCCTCAAGCAGTGAGTATCAAGACCAGGCCTTTGTCAAGTGAGACGACAAAACTGACGACCCGTAGCCCTGGGTGTACACCGGCGGATCCTACTCTGGCGTCCTGGCTGCAGCCATCGCGAAGCTCGCTCCGGGAACCTTCTGGGCCTACCACTCCAGCAGCGGTCCCGTCGAGGCGACCTACGACTACTGGAGCTACTTCCTCCCCATTCAGAACGGCATGCCCAAGAACTGCAGTCGCGACTTTGAGCGGATCGTCGACCACGTCGACAACGTCTTGCTCACTGGCAGCGATGACGAGATCTACTCCTTGAAGAAGAAGTTTGGCCTCCAGGACCTTGCTCACAAGGAGGACTTTGCCTCGTAAGTTGAAGCCTTGGCTGTAATGGAGACTTTGAATCCGATTCTCACATCTGTGATGTTTGTAGTGCTCTCGTCGGACCCCTTGGCTACTGGCAGTCTATCCAGCTGTACTCAGGATACTCCGCGTTCTACGAAATGTGCGATACTGTCCAAGGCGCTATTGGTAACTTCTCGGCCCCCAACGCGACGTACAGCGCAGACGGCGTCGGTCTTACAAAGGCTCTGAACAACTACGCCAACTGGTGGAGCACTAACTACCTCCCGGGAAGTAAGTAGCAGCCCCCATGAACTGTGTGTGTCTTGTGGGTGACTGACTCTGTGCAGCTTGCGCATCCTACGGCATCGAGGAGTGGTCAGACCCCCTGAACGTCGCCTGCTTCGACAGCTTCAACGCCACGAGCCCCATCTACACCGACTGGAGCGCCGAGAACCCGTTCGGCCGGACGTGGTACTGGATGACCTGCAACGAGCCCTTCTTCTACTGGCAGACGTATGTTCACGGCTCAATGATACCCGTTGAAGTGTAAGAGAGCCTTAGGACTAACTGTGAACAGCGGTGCTCCCAAGGATCGTCCCTCAATCGTCTCGCGCTTCGTCACACCGGAGTACTACCAGAGCCAATGCGACCTTTTCTTCCCCAGGCAAGGCGAGTTCACCTACGCCTCCAACGCTGGCAAGACTGCCGCAGACCTGAACAAGGCGACGGACGGCTGGTTCTTCACCAACACCACCCGCCTCATGTGGTCCAACGGGTAAGTCATTTAACCGCACCTCGGTATTGGTAAAAATGACGTGACTGACGTTCCCGTAGCGAGTTCGACCCCTGGCGCTCAGCCTCCGTATCCAGCGAGCTCCGTCCCGGCGGCCCGCTCAAGTCCCGCCCCGGTGCGCCAGTCCACCTCATCCCGGGATCTCGCCACTGCAACGATTTGCTCGTCAGAAACGGCGCGGTCAATGAGGATATGCAGGAGGTCATCACTGCTGAGGTTGATCAGATGAAGGCTTGGGTTGATACGTTCTATGCCTCCAAGGGCAAGTACAGACGCCGCTCTACACGGTCTCTGTGAAGAAGGCCGTGCGGTATCACGGTGCACTCGAGAGATTCCTTCCATCTTCTAGAGTGGTTTCTGTCTTTGAATACATGTAGATACTAGTACCTTGTCTAATCGAACACAAGCTTGATTCAAGTCTGCTCCGTTCAGCATCCTAGCGTCAACTACCCTTCAAATAACGCTTTGTTCACGCAAAATCGAACCTTCTTCTCGTCGCCACTTATTGTATAACTGCTGCCCACAACGTGAATTCGGAGTCCAGCTGGCTTTAACTACCTTGACTTCTCGAGGATCAGTCCTTTCAGGTCCCTTCAAGTAAGAGGCGACAGGAAAGCATGCTAGCTGGACCCTAAAGTTCTTGTGACCCCTTTTCGTGGCGTCGTTAAGGCGTATTAACCAAGGAATAAACAGCCAGGGGAGAGAAAGTTGAGGTAACGCCATCGACGATAGCAGCAGTAAGTAACCAAGTAAGAGTGAAGCTGGTAGGGAAACTTTGAAGGTTCTTCTTCAAGACAGCAGCCAAGTATAGCCTGGAAAGAAATTGAGTCAACTTGGGGACCACCGAGATGAAGACCCCAACGCTGGTTATATCATCAGCACTCGATGTCATCCGCACGATTGAATCCGAGATAGCGGGCTTCGCAGCAGAGGCAAACGTGAACAACGCAGCTCTTAACATTCTATGACACTTGAAAGCTAGACTAAAGTTCTATAGACACTCTAACTTATACTATCTAAAGCGCTTCATGCCATCCGACTCTTCTTCCGAAGAGGCTGAAATCTTCCGTATTTTAGGCTAACAGCGACGTTTACCAAGGCAGATCAGTACCATCGTGGTTCTTGAACGATCCGCTAATCTCTCTGGTAGCCTTATCAATGGTAGCGACCATATCATCCACACTCTTCTTCACAGGAATGGCGCCGAAAGCGCTGAGGTCAGCGCCGGCCTTGGCCGCCAACCCAGCAGCCATATCTGTCTCAACCAGACCAGGGTGGAAGACAAAGGCAGTCAACCACGGCTCCTCAAAGTGCAATCGGCGCACGAACCAGTTAAGCGCGGCCTTTGACGCGCCGTACGGGCTCGCGGGGCTGGGAATCTGGAAAATCGTCTCGGCGAGGCCGTTGCTGCCGATTGCGGAGGAGATTGCGACAAAGATGGGGTTCTTGGACTTGCTCTCCTTGAGGAGGGGCTTAGTGGCGCCGAAGAGGACGAGGGGCGCGACGGAGTTGACGGCGAAGTGGTCCAGGGCGACCTTGGTGGAGGTGGCGGCGATGTCGGCCGAGGTGTGGGAGATGCCGGCGTTGGCGATGACGACGTCGAGGGCGGTGATGCCGTGCTCCTTTTGGATTGTTGCTACGGCGGCGGCGGGGTCGGACTCGACTGAGGAGTCGATCTTGACGACGATGATCTTGGAGCCTTCGGCCTTGGGGAGGTCGTAGAGGGCCTTTGAGGCTGCGGCGGCTGGGTCGCGGACGCCGACGATAATTGTTGTTGAGGGACGCTGGAGGAGGAGGGTGGTGAAGCCCTTTCCGATTCCACGGTTGGCGCCGGTGATGAGGTAAGTGAGTCCGGAAGACATCTTGAAGGTTGAGGTTTTATAAGGAGAAGTGTTGTGGTTGTAGTTGAGTTAGTATATGTTGAGACGGAGGCCGTTGAAGTTGAGGTGTGATGGGGATTCACTCAAACAGCAGAACGAGGCCAAAGTAGACATCTTAAATAACTTGTGTAGATTCATCGTTCGAGTTGACACGTTCATAGTTTCTGATGAACTGACAAATGCAGCATCGCATCTCGTGCTCGCACGCCTTGCGGAGTAGCCTATCTTCGAAGGGAATCGAAGTGTTGCAGAACACCACTTTCAGGGTTCTCCATTCATTTTCGGGGCCGAGCATAGCGTCTGAACAGATTGATAATCGTGGTTCGGATGGACTGCAGTTTTGGGAACGGCAGAGTTCCTGTCGCAGTATCAAAAGTCTGGGCGGATATGCTGTTCACTAATCCAGAAACACAACTACGAGCTAAATATGGGGTTGGGATTAGTAGTGCGCGCCGCCAGATATGCGGGCTCAGCGCTCACCTGCATCATTACAAAGCATGAAACTATATCAAGAATCTGTTCAATTACTTATTATTGATACTCGCCTGAAAGTCTCGCGGTCTGTTCCGGAGCGTTACGGGCTTTGTCATTCTGGTAAGATCATCTGAGCCAGTCAAGATCATAAGTTCCTCTTAGCGAGCTTCCCACAAGTAAGACGACGAGTTCTTCAGCTCAACCTCAGGAGGATTTGAGTCACTTCATGTCGTTAATGGCAAGCATTGTCACCACAGCACGAGCCATCTAATTTCGGTAATCTAGATGAAGAATGGAATATTGAGATGTTCAGACGAGTACAAAAGCATCACTGGCGCCCGTTCCAATCTCTCAATAGTTGAGCGTATGTTTTGGAATTGCATTCCCGTACCTCAACAAATCTTCATCCGATTCGATACATTCAAGTCGATCATGGATGCTGAATCTTTGATGTTCGACTTAAACAACTGGGTCTCCGAATTACTCGTGTCTAATGTATTGATGGCTGCCTCTTTCCAAGATATTCCTTGTGGGATACTGACTAACTGATTTCGTCCTATCGATGCTACAGCACTGGTTCTTCCGTTCATTTTGTCCTATGAAGGAAGGGGCCTTCTTGGCTGAAGCTCCGAGCTTCCTCAAGATATCTTAGAACGAATGGTCCCAAGTTTATCAGAATAGCTTGGAAGTTGGAAGCGTAAGCTGTGAGCATTGTTAAGCTGTATCAAGGCATCGCCCATTGCTAAAGATTAGTGATCAACACACGCCGCATCCGTCAGCCCCGCCACTCCTTCAATTTGTGTTCACTAATCGCCCTCTCTTAGCCATTAACAAGTCCAGACGGTCTTCTGCCTTGGATTGCGCAGAAGCTCTAATCGTGGTATCCAGCAATGACTTCAGGGCAAGGCATAGCCAAAACTTCTAATGAGTATTTCCAACGGGCTTTTGCATGCTGTAGTAGGGTATATATGGCGTCGATTGCTGCTTGCAATTAACGGCGTAATTTTTGCGACACCTGCTCGATCACCTCATTGCTGACGAATGTGGTAACACCGATGTGCAACTCTCTTCTATCTATATGTTACCTCACGTCCACTTCTGATCAACCAACCGTACACATAACACCGCAGCCCCCGCGGCGCAACATCCGAACAACGTCATCTGAAATCCTTCCCATAGACATCGTGTCCGTGATGTCTTCCCGTCACCCAACAACCAGCTCTTTCCGGCTCCAAAGATGAACAAAGCAATGAGACAGACGACAATGCTCCACAGAAGCCCGTGACCCACGCTCGAAGCGAAGAAGTACGGCAACAGGGGCACCATCCCGCCACAAAGATATCCGATAGCGATTGATAGTCCTGAAAAGATTGGCGATTCTAACAGGCGGCTCTTGTCGATGGTGTCAACTTCGACAAAGGCGTCGGGTCGATTAGCTTGCGTGCTGTTGATTCTTTCAGAAGCCCAGCTCAACCCTCCCGACTGAGACCTTACGGCCCCAATCACCATCGCAACGGTTGTCTCAGGTAAGCCCAGTGGTTGGAGATACCGGAGCACTGCTCCGTCTTCGTCTATTGCTCCGCCTGTAAGGTGCTTCTCGTCATCGATCACGTCCTCGCTGTGTCTTCCTGCCGACGACAGCATGCCTTGTTCTTCTTCATCTACCGGTGATGGCTGCACCGTCGACGGGTCATTGTGCGAAGAGTCCCGCGCTGCCAGATAGCCACCGATTCCCATACTGATGCATCCCGCGCATATCTCCGCGAGACCGGCGTAGATGACCGTCTCGCTGCGGCCAAGGGAGCTGAGACCGGCGGTCAAGGCGAATGGTACTGTGAGGCCATCTGAGAAGCCGAGTGTGAAGTCTGAGAGGAAACGAGAAAGCTTGGGAGAGACCATCGTCAAAGCGATGTCTGTGTTCTGTAAGTTGGGGAGTTTATTTGAGCGAAGGGTTCACCGCCCGACAATTTGAACGGGGCTTGTCGGACTGAATCAAGGCTGCCAGGGATGGTGAACTTGGTTGTCGATTTGATTGAAACAAATGAGATTTGGGGCAACTTCGCATTAAACTCCAGTGATCGAGACACGGAGTTTGGAGGTTCCAATCCAGGAGGCTCAAGCTGTAGAGAAACGGGAGCAGAATCCTGGCAACGATACACCGGCACAGGAAGGGCAGCATTTTGCCCCTCACACACGGCTTAGTCTCCATTTCATTCAAGGTCCTGTCCACGCGCCGTTTCTGCGCTTCTAAGTGGACGATACAGCATAGCCACAACACAACCAAAAGGTCGGCTGAAAGATGCCGTGATACCCAAATGTTTCCTCGAGTGGAGAAATAGTCGGCATCGACGTCCAAGAGGGGTGTGGGGGAGCAAGAAACATCTGTCAAGACACAAGCTTTCGCCCAGAGGCGATGCCAAGAGCGACCACGTGTGTGGAGTCCGGAGAATATGACCCCTCAATCTTCGGCCAATGGTTCGAGATGGATTTCTCACCTTCCCGACAAGGAAGGACATTTTGTGCTCCTAATGCAGGGATAGCCGTTGACGATCTCTTCTCCACCCGATGCCTTCCCTGCTCGGGCGGTTGTCAATGAACATCCTTGTGGAACGACTCGTCGACATCACGAGGGCTGATTCTGCATGCCGCGTACCATCCGGGTGACGAATTTTAGACACTGAGTATTTGATTTTGCTCGGCCAAGTCCGATGCCATTACCGTTCCCCTCTCTCTGAGCGGCGTTGTTCTTGTTATCTCTATCATTGTCATGACTGTTGCTTCTGTCGCTCTAATTACCTCTGACGTCTCTACAGTCTATCATCTTGCATACATGTGTACATATTCGAGAACGTATACCTGAGAGAATTATAGTAGAGAAATTTATAGAGGTTAAAGAAATAGAGAAAGTGCTAAAGAAGATTAAGAAGGTTATAAGAGAGAATAGGCTTTGAAAAGACTTCTTATTAAAAGTACTTTGTATAAGACCTATAATTATAAGCTCTATTTATGTTATGACTTAATTATTTAGAGAACATTTATTGAAGTTATAGTAACAGATTTGTTATTATAATGATAACAACTCGTAGGGGCTTTGTCCCGAGACCTTACGCCTTGTAGCCAGGAGGCGGGTTAAGTCCGTCCGAAACCTGAACAGTATCCTCGTAGTATGTAGGAGCTTTGCTGTCTTTCCAGGTCGCCTTGATGGACTCGAGAATCTTCCTGCCGGCCGCATTCTCATCCAGAGCCAAGTTGGGCTTGGGGTACTGCTTCGCCGTCTTACTGTTAAAAAAGCCAGCATACGACAGGTTGAAGTAGCGGTCTGGCACTGCCAAGGTGTTGCTCCACTGGCGAATGACGCTATTGGTCTTGTCTGCGACAAATTTGTAGACGTTGGCGCCGACATCCCACCTTCCGAGTGTCGGGAGATCCCAGTTGGCCTCAACCGTGGCAAGTTCTGAGTAATGATTGTAGAAGTTGGAATCTGTGGTACCAATAAGTTCTTTAGGGATTGCGTCTCCCAGAAGAACACCGAGGATTCGGTTCTTTTGTGTGTACGTCTCATTCTCATCAAAAGTGACCAGAACCAAGGTATTGTTCATGAAGTTCTTGTCTTCAAGCAGAGGCTCAAGAAAACTCCTTGTCCAAGTGCCAGCAACAGTCACAGAGGAATCGTGGCCGTCTGAGGTGAGGTTGCCTGCGATGAAGATCCATTGCGGCAGCTTATTAGCTTTAATGTCCTTGTGGAACAGGGAGCGCTCGGGGTAGACCATGGAGATGTTCTTGATCTGTGACAACCGCTGCTCTGATCCAGCCACACTGTCAAAGAATAAAGGCGGGCTGTGCTTTCGGACGTAATCATTGGCTCCATTTTGTTGGTTCACCCATGCCATGCCTTCAAAACCAGAGTATGGCAGGTCTTCAAAGTAGCTAGACCAACTGATGCCCTTTGTGTCGAGTAGGTCAAAGACCGTGGAGACGTTGTGATCGGCGCGATTGAAGTTATCGTTATTCATTCCCAAATAATCTCCAGAAACTGAGGCGAAGTAATTGGGCTCAGAAGGATGAGTGACAGCAAAGTTGTTGGACAGCGTGATGCCCTTCTTGGCGAGCCATGCAAAGTTGGCTGTGGCAAGTCAGACTCTGAGGGGGAAATGGGCTCAAAGAAGCACTTACGATCACCAATAGCCTTGTCGTAATCGGTGTTTTCATTCCAGATAATGACAAAGCGGTCAAAAGCCTTGCCTTTGACGTTGCTGGTCGGGCTGCTAGTCTTGGCCGTGGCAGCAGCAGCCGCGACAGCAGCGGTACCGGTGGCAGTGTACCGTGTCTCCCAGCCCCCAGAAGAGCTGGAAGAAGTCGCTCGAGCAGCGAGAGGCGTGACGGCAGCCGCATGGGCACCGGCCGCAAGGAAAGCTGCGGCAACTGCGCAACGCATCGTGGAGGATGATGAAGCTGAAAAGACCTTCAAACGAGCGGTTGAAAGAACGGCGTGGCAAGTACAAGGAAAACCAAGAGCCTCAAGGCCGGGTCTCCTTGATTATTTCATGTTTTCTATGATTTGCTGTCGGGCACCTCCGTGTCGGTGACTCTGTAGCATCGGGACGAGGAATGGGGAAGGTCACATCCCTGACAGGCTGACAGCATCGCCACCCCTGCGCACGGGAACGCTCGTCGATCCATTAAACGAACAGATGAATGGGACGAAAAAAAGGAGCCTGTCAGTACTTTCGATCTAGTGGATGGCATTGAATCCATTTCCCCTCAGTCGACTTGGACCGTCCGAACTCCAATTGCAGACGCAGGTTGTCAAAGTGTGAGGTCTGATTGGGCCATTCTGAGCGCACGTGTAAGAAGACAGGCATGCCGGCTTCCCGAGAGGGCGGCAACGAGCGGGCAGAAACAAAACAGAATGCTACGCCACCCCGTTTTCCGAAAACTTACCTGCCTTGAACGGCAGTTCGGCTCGTGAGCGGCATTTTGTTCGCATTTTCAACCTCTTGTTTGAATTTGTGTCTCTTCGCTCCTTGCGTTGTTCCTTCAAACCGTTGAGACGCGATGAACTTCGCGCCATGGACGTCGTCGAGCGAGGAAGCGATCAAGAGAGGCTTTTGAGTCCGGCTCTGACGATCTCCACCGACTTCAACTTGGACCACCTGGAGTCATCGTCTTTTGGTTCGGCTACAGAGGACAACGGCGAGAAATCGCCATTTCTTCCTCCCCACGATGATGATGATGAGAGACCACAACAGTCGCGGAGCCGGTCAGATGTCTCTTGGCTGAGTCGAGTCTCTACAGGCTTCTTTGGTGTATTCATATTCTTCTTCATTTTCTATGCGTCAGATCTGCTCTACCCAGCGACTGCATCGCATGATTCTCAAACGGCAGTCTATGTGGTCAAAGAGCCAATACCATCATCGCCACGATTGAGGAACTCGTCGGAATATGTTTTGGGCTCTTCGTGGGACTTCAACGCCTCGCCAAGCATCAGAGAGTACTACTGGACCATCAGCGATGCGACTTTCAACCCTGATGGGATCTTTCGGCCGATGATGCTCATCAACAACCAGTTTCCCGGACCTCTCATAGAGTGCAACGAGGGAGATACCATCGTTGTCCATGTCCGCAACGAAGCTGTCAACGCCACAGCCATTCACTTTCACGGCATGTATCAAAACGGCACAAACTCCATGGACGGCACCGTCGGCGTAACGCAGTGCCCGATTGCACCCAACGCGACGTTCACATACAGGTTCACGGCCGAGAACCAGTCAGGAACGTATTGGCACCATGCACACCACAGCAACCAAGCTTCTGATGGACTCGTCGGGCCTCTTGTCATCCATCCGAGAAACAAACAAGGAACCAGAGATCAGTACTCGACTGATCGGGTCGTCATGATCTCGGACCACTATCACAACACATCGGCCGAGTTGTTGATGGACTACCTTCAATCGGACCAGGAGAATGAAGAGCCTGTGCCGTCGAGCGGCCTCATCAACGGGCGCAACTATCGCGATTGTGTCGACTTTGACGGATGGAATTGCCAGAACGAGAGATCTCGTGTGTTTTCGTTGGAAACCTTTAGCCTGGCTCCAAATGAGCGACATCGCCTAAGGTTCATAAACACTGGTGCGTTTGCCGAATTCCAGGTCGAAATCGACGAGCATCCGCTCTACGTTACGGAGGTTGATGGGACTGATATTCACCCTGAACCCTTCCACCGCCTCAATATCCTTCCGGCACAGCGATATAGTCTGGTTCTTGAGACCAATCTCACCACTGCCGATTCATTCTGGTTGCGAGCTAGGATGATCACGCACTGCTTCGCACGAGAGAACCCCTGGCTCGACTCAGAGGTGAAGGGGATCATCCGGTATGCCACACCAGATCTCTCCAGCATAGAGGAGACGCATGAAGCGTTGTCTGAACTCAGCGAACCACAAAGCAAGAGCTGGGACGAAGCCATAGATGTCGACTGTCGAGACATGAACACAACTCTTCTCAGACCTGTCGATGCAATTCCAGCACCCAATGTCACAGCCACAATGTACCTCCGCGCCAACTTCGAAATTGGGGCCTGGCGTTTGTCGCGGGGCTTCTTCAACGCCTCGACGTGGCACGCCAACGTCACCTCGCCGGCTCTGTATCGCTTCATGGACACCGCGAAAAGAGACAATGAAACGCTGTTGCCGTCTACAACCGGCGTAAACGACATCACCTTCAATCCAGAAAATGAGTTCGTGTACCAGACGCAAGGCATCCAAACGGTTAACATCGTCATCAGCAACTTCGACGACGGCGCACATCCGTTCCATATCCACGGCCACAAGTTCTTCGTACTAAAGCAATCCCCAACGGGCTACCCACCCGAAGACATGGCCGAGTTGGAAGCAGAACTAGCAGCGTCGGGTGTTCTGGAGAACCCGCTCAGAAGGGATACCGTAACAGTCCAAGGCTACGGGTGGGCAGTCGTCAGAGTCGTTCTGGACAATCCGGGCTTGTGGGCGTTCCACTGCCACAACGCATGGCACGCGGAGGCGGGCATGGTAATGATGATTGCTGCGAGAGTCGAGACGGCCAAAGAATGGAAGGCGGCGAGCGAGGAGGAAGTACGGCTCTGCGGGTTGCCTGGGGTTGAGAAAGGGGTTCGGCCTAGTGATGACATTTGGTTCGGGAACTTTGGTTGAAGGAGAAAATACGAGATTCTGTAAATAGAGGGTTAGTAAGTGCTACTGCCCGGAAAGTAGTCTTTCTCAGAAGAGATAATGGGAGCTTCGGCGGACAATTGGAACCCGCTCCCCGTGATAATTACACCGCCTCTAACAGTCTGACCCACGGGGAAATTGTCGAGTGCATACGCTCCATCTGTTTCCGTCCTGTAATGAATCAGAAATCAGCTGTTGTGGGATCCATCCATCAGTCAGGTCTCTACTAAGTCCGTCGGCGAAATAGCAACGGCTAGAGTACCCTTGTCAACCCGTTTGTTGTCAAGCCCCCCGTGGGCAAGGCGTTGTGGTCCTCGGCATTATCCCTTGCCCATTGGAGTTGTGATCCACCAGAGGTTTCCATCGCCTTTCACTTCTCCGCGTATGTACGGAGCTATGTCTTTTGCAAAAGAAAGTTGCTGACATCTACCGGTCGAGTACCGAGACATTGTGTCCAAGAAGGACAAGATAGCTTCAATAGTACCGGCAGTTCCGAAGCTCCTTCCTTTCATAGATACGATGGCTTCATGCCTCTGGGGTATCGACTCATGACGGAGAGTGCGCTGGCTGCACTTCGCACCAGAAAAGGAGTTGCTTGCTTGGAAGTTGAATTGGGCCCGACGATCTAGACCGCTGAGAGCCTAGAGGTTCTCAACAAGCTAGTCTGCATGTAGTTGCTTGAACAGGGGGCACATTGAATATTGCAAGAGATTGGGAAATAGGCAAACGGGTCCCGTACTAACTCGATCGGATACCGGATTCCGCAGTACCCATCATCCGGTCTCCCATGAGTGCACGTGTGCTGCATCATCCGTGTGGTCCCATAATCCCATTTGCCCTCATGCCCATTTCTCGCCAGGCTCCGCAATGGGAGGCGAAGTTATGGGCCCCTTAATTCTTCTATCTGCAGCTCTGCGACGAATTGGTTGTAGTGCTGTTGGAACTTCCATGTTGAAGCCTTTTCTGCTAATCTGTGATCGTCACTTTTCGGTCCGTTGTAAAATTCTCAAAGTCAAAAAAAGGAGAGGTGTAGTACGGAATTGACAGAGAGTTCCAGTTTTCTCATGTAAAAAAGGCCCGTTGAAACAAGAGACAACTGATGCGTCGCATTGAGTCGGAAATAAAGAGCAATTGGACGCTCGCGCCCCAGTTTATCGCACTCTGTTCGTAGGTTGGTCCTATCTTTCTTCACCCACCTGCATACATCTCAGTGCCGAGTTCCATATTATTTTTGGGGTAAACGATTCCAGCTAGATAGGACGCGCGCCCCATCAACTCATCTTTAGGATGGAGCCGCTGAAGCATCTAGATGGACGTTGTCTTGCCTCTAGAGACTTGTGCCGCTTGCCGGCTATTCAAGAGTCATGTCGATGTCATATTTGCTGTTGAATGATGATATGCGGCTGAGACTTGAGGGTGCCATGTAGAAAGAGAGCCGGCAAGTCGGACGGAAAAACCAAACATGATGCGACGTTGAAATTGAAGATTCAGAGTTTTGACTGGTGCAAATTCAAGGACTGTCAACTCCCTAGCTGCCGTTCAGATGACTTGTGTTTCATCCGCCATCCAACATGGTCAACACGAAGAAAGGCGCAAACTCTAATTCCCTTTCAGGATCGTGAGAGGGGGGAAGGAGAAAATCTGCCAAGTCAAAGTGAGTTAAACACCTGCATCAGTTACGTTGCACCGTCAAGCGAAAAGGCGCGAGCAGCCGAAGGTGTCGGATGCTAGACACTTCATGGTCAAGACTCAAATTAGCTCGTCGACGGGGACCCGGTTCTGGCAATATTCTGCACATTCTGCACACATGACGGGCCAGCGCTAACATGACTAGGCCATCTCGAGGAAGTTTGGAGGGCAGCAAAACAGTTGAGGATGGGCCCGAAACTCTGAACTTTCCCGCCAATCATGGGCAGAATTGGCAGAAATGTTCCACGGCAGCACCAATTCTCGTGGCTTTTTGGTAGACGCTCCCCGAAAGTCAATTCTATTGCAATCGACTGCCGTACCGTGATGTGATCAACCCCCCACCCCACTCCCATAAGTCCCTTCAGCTATACGTGTTCGGGAGGCCGTGACCATCACATTACCAACGATTCAACCAAGCTAACCCTGAGGGCACGCAATATCAATCGAACTCTGTTCAATTTAAAGCTCACATTGTCTGACCATAAACTTTCCACCAACCAGCCGCCCCGGTACTGGCATCCCTGGGGAACAATTGGTCCGT